AGGATAAATTACACTTTGTCCATTCGTGTTTAGTCAATTTTTTCACTTAAATTTTTAATTTTTTTCTTCATTTTGACTGTTTACATTTTAAAATTTTTTCAATTCATTCAAAAAATAAATTCATGTCCAAAATGAGACAGAAAAATAATAAATTTATAATCACATAATATAAAAATATTTATTACATATAACTCACACATTTTTTTATGTGTCAAACTGGGTTACCCAAATTGTTGAGTCTGAAATGCAGAATAGCAGACTATTGTGTTTTTTTTGACCATTCAATCAATCAGATTAGGTCTTTACGTACCAATTTGCCAATCAAAGTTGCAATGGCGATTGAGGAGTCAAAAGTAGATTGGATTGGAATTTCGAACCCACAAATTCAAGCGATTGCTTGACTTCTTCTTTTCTTGTAGTTTTTTTTTTTTTTTTTTAATTTTTAATTTGAAGGGTTCAAAATTTCAAAGCTAATTACAAAAATAGTTATTGTGATAATTTTTATAATAATTTTGCCCTTATTTCTCTCTATTCCCTCTTCTCTCTGCTTGAAAGTGTAATATGGCACCACCTTATCTGCTACGAAGCATGCGTACGGATATGAGTACGGTATAATATGAACGTGTTGATACGATAAAATTTTAAAAAAAATAAGATATGGGTACGGCTTAGTACACTTATAAAAAAAATATTTATTTTTAATTTAAAATAATAAAAAAATTAATTAAATGATTTAATTTGTTAAGGTCTAATGTACAATTAATATTTAATGCCAAAAGTAAAAATATAGATCAAAATTAAATATGAATACATTAAATAACTTACAAATTATAGTTTAATTTTAAAATCATGCTAAGTATAAAACAAAAAATAAAAAAGGAATCTAATAAAAAGAGTTTTATCTCTGTAGTAAAAGAAAATATTGTTTCAACTGAAATACGGTATAGTTTGGATATATACTAGGTACATCTAAGTATGTCAAAAATTAAGAAAAAAATTTGAATACTTATTTTGAGTACCCGATATGTATACAAAAGTACCATATATCAATAAAATATCCCATACAAATACGATAGCTTGTCTGTCTTAGGGGGTGGTTAGAGAGAGTTTGACTTTGCTTAGCTCATGGGCCATCCATTCATCTTTCATATCACAAGGTTATCTCATTGGAGCAACAATGGTTTTTCTATAATACTTTTTTTTGTAATTTTAAAATCTTAAAAAAGTTTTATGTGTTGGTTTATTGTTAAAAAATTGTACTTTTGTTTTGGAGAAATTTTGTGCGTCTTTCTAAACTTTTAGGTTTTTAGTATGAAATTAATATGACCAAAGGATAAAATATAATTTGTTAAACTATTGAGGCAAAAATCAGCTTTACACAAATCTATCAAGGTCCATTTAGAAAGATAGTTGAGACTAATTTAACCCATTATTTAAAAAAAAAATGAATTAATGAAAGACTTACTTATTTAGCTATACCAAATGAATTTTTTACTTTCAATTTTTTAAAGCCAAAAATCAATTTATTTGGAAATTGTCAAACCAAGCCATGCTTCCAATATGTTGGTCTTTCAATAATGCTGCACACATTTGTGTATCTTTCCTATTCATTTTATATTTAGGCCAAGTTTAGAAAGATTAAATAAGTGCACTTTTTATCTTTTTGGACTAAAAAATTGAGGTTGAAAATATGGATGTTTGGGTTAACTTTTTGACTTTTTATTAAAAAATGTGTAATAAAAAATTATAAAAATTGATTTGTAAAGAAAAATTTGAATTGGGAGTTGTGCAGCCGTAATTGTTGACTTTTGGTGAATAGTGTTAACTTTTTAACTTTTTGAGTTACTTTTTGACTTTTTAACTTTTTTGGAAGTACCCAAACTTGGCCTTAGTGAAAACACACTTATTATAAATTTGAATTATATATTAATTTCGTGTGTTCATTTGTGTACGTAAATTTGGATGTGGACATTACCCAATTGGCTAAAAATTATGGTAGGTATGATTTGTTTTTTAGCTCTCTCTCTCATTTATTGTTGGGGCCACAAGTTTTGTACTTTGTTCTTTCATTTCATCTATGTGTTTGTTAAATTTCTGACTTAATCTGGAATACATGTATAATATACCAGTTACTTCCCAAAACCCACTAAAAAACACAACCATAAACACTAAAAGTAACCCTTACTATGCAATTCACTAATTACTTAAGTTGGTTTCCCAATCAGTCTTGTACTTTGTTCTTTTCATTTCATCCATGTGTTTGTTAAATTCCTCACTTAAACAAGCTGGAATACATGTATAATATACCAGTTACTTCCCAAAACCCACTAAAAAAAACAACCATAAACAATAAAAATAACTCTTACTATACAATTCACCTAATTACTTAAGTTGGTTTCCCAATCAATCAATTTTTGGGATTCGAATTTACAAGTTCAGATTATAAAATGGTTGTAATACAGTGTCATTACTGTAACGCCCCGAAATAATTCAACATAAACTACCCACATTAATGAACATTCACTAAGCAATAACAATAATCCTTTCATCTTCACATATATAATAAATGAGTTTAATACAAAAGTTCCACATGCGGTATACATTCAACGAAATAAAAGAATACGCGAATCTATAGTATGTGAAGTATCTAGTCTCAAAACAACAAAATGCCCTTAAGGGCTTACATCTTCCAAGGCAATAGTCCGGTTACACAAAATGGTCTCTCGGACCCATACACATTTAGCCCTTGGCTTTACAAAATTCACAACAAAAATAAGGGAGTTATTTACTCTTCACAAAATATTCACGCCCTCAGTTCGGCGGGATCACCACATCTTTACCTGTACCAAAGTCCCATAGGGGTGAGCATAAAGCCTAGTAAAGAATTCTCACAAAGTATATACAGTTATGTAATTCTCAATGTAAATACAAATGCCAATGCCATATAATGCCCTTTTTAAAGAAAATTTCGTTTCATGCTCTTCTCAAAGATTTCTATTTTTCAATAAAAGCTTGCAACCTCAACACATTTCAAACTTCCAATTTTAATCAACATGGGCGGTAAATACGACATTGGTAATCCCTAACCTGGTGTCTGTAAGTAAACTCTACAAGTACTACCCAATTGTCATTTTTACCGGTATTAACCGGAAGGCTCGACGCCTATCCGTGCAGTTTTCTGATCTTTCACCATGGACATTCAGGCCAACTTAACAAGATTAACTACACCCCCTATTCGGACTTATCACGTATTTACCCCATGCCACATTTCCATAGTTCTTATTACAACATCAGTTTCTTTCATGAAGTAAATACCTTCAATTGAAATTCACAATGCAAAATAATAGTTAAATGAATATGCAATGCCATGATCTTTCCACATCTCATAGTATCTCCCCATTTCAATTACTTCTACAATAATGACAACAATTACATTTCCCATTTCCTCTCTTCATGGTTCATCCACAAGATGATCACATACTATCAACACGTACTACAATTTTCTCATTTCACAAGTCTTAGCAATTTAGTCTCATCAAGGCTATATATGATGTTTTCAAGCATTAATCTTCGATACTTACGATTCTTACCATCCATGGTGCACAACAATTTGTCATATTAAAACAATCCATATTCACTCAATTTGCAAAAATGCTAAAATGACATCTTATTTCTCATAGATCAAGTGGGATGCAATTTTGCTAAACATTTGATAAAGTTTACTCTTATTCATTCTCTTGATGCAAGAATAAAAGAAGTTCATGTGTATTCTCATGTTTTTCCCAAAACCCCCAAATTCTAGGGTTCTTCATCCAAGACAAAACTTTTCGTTTTCTTAATGAATCTCACCAAAATCATCCATCTTGAGTTTTTATAGAAAGAACATCCTCATGGATAAAAAGAAAGTTGAGATTTAGACCCTTCTTTCAAAACTCCCTTTCTCTTTCTCTCTTCATTTAGTGCAAAATTAAAATCAACACAACAACCTCATGGAAGCTTTAAAATCAACATTTATGAAGCAAAACATGTATATATAACTCAAGAAATCTCTAGCTCAATGTTTGATGAAGAAACAAGAGAGGAAACCCTAGCTTCAAGGGAGGATTCTTCAACTTCCACTACACGAAGAAGGACTCAAGCTTGATCTTCAAGATTAGAGGGAGAAGATGATGATCTAGACCCAAAGATTGCAAGGATCAAGGGTTTTAATGTTTGAAGAAGTTTCCTAGAGAGAAGGGAGAGCAAAAATGGCCTTTAGAGTGAGAGAGTGAAGCCCTAAAGTGATACGCTCGGCCCCAAAAGATACAAAAATGCAGAGATTCGGACCCAGGCCGACCGCACGTGCGGCGCCCTTCCCCGTACGTGCGGAGCGTGCCCTCCTGCACGTGTAGCTGTCACTCCTGCACGTGCGGCACCTTCCGCACCTCACTTACACACGTGCATATATTACAGTGTGTATGCCCAGCCCTCCCCTAAAATCCGCACGTGCGGCTTCACCCCCCCGCACGTGCGGCCAGTCAACCAGTCCAAAAAATTTTCTAGTTCGACCCCCGGCCACTCCGGACCTGACCTCACGCTCTCCAGAACTAGCGAAAAATCGACACCGAACCAAACAAGAACAAGAACTCAAATCTTGAGAACCATCTCCGGACGTTTCAAGCCTAATCAAGATAAAAGGAGAATGGAGCGACGGGGAAAAGAAAAAGGAAGAAAAGACCCGGTCGTCATAATTACTTACCTCGTATACTTGTGCATGCAGTGTATATAAAAAAGGATGATACTGAGCACAAGGCTCTTGTTAAAGTAAGATCTAAAAAGCACAAGATTTACGCAATCTTATCCCTATTTTTGTAGAGATTGTTTCCGTGACTCGAACCTATGCTTTCAAGGATGCTAATATCAAGCCTTACCATTTGGCTGTGCAATGTGGATGTGTGTGTATATATATATATATATGCAATGCTATCATTTTTTGATCTGCATATGCAATGCTATCTTGAAGCTGTACACTAGAACTTGTTTATTTATTTATTTTTTGTGCTTCCAAGACCATATATTATAGTACAACTCCCAATTCCAAACAGAGCTCTATTTAAGTAGAAAGAGAGGTCTGCCATTAAAGAACATTGCAAAAAAGAAAGACCAATGACATTCCCAACTTATCTCTTCCTATCGTTTCTTTTTTGCTCTTCACTGTTGCATAGACCCACCCTTGCCATAAAAAAGGTAAGCATTTATATGCTTCCTTCTCTTTTCCCTTAACATTAACATATGGGTATGTTGTTGCTATTTCAGGTTTGTTCCAATATAATTTGTTTATTGTATATGGTGTAGTCATACGTGGTGTACTTTGGATGTCATTCACATGGCCTAGAAGTTTCATCCTTTGATTTAGATAAAGTCACAGAGTCTCACTATGAGTTCTTGGGATCATTCTTGGGAAGGTACATATCTCCATTGTTTTGTTTTTTTGAATCAGTATGCAATTTTATTGATATTCTTGAACTTGATTGTACATAGAAATAAGGCGAAAGAGGCCTTATTTTACTCCTACACAAGACACATCAATGGTTTTGCTGCAACACTTGAAGATGAAGAAGCAGCCCAGATAGCTAGTAAGCATTTTTATCTGATTTTAATGGTTTTTTTAGTGCCTATGAATGGTTATTTTTTGTTTTATTTGCCAATTATAGTGATAATTACCATCGAATGCAGATCATCCAAAGGTAATCTCATTGTTCTTGAACCAAGGAAGAAAATTATACACAACAAGATCATGGGATTTCTTGGGTCTTGAGAATGATGGGGTGATACATTCTAGCTCAATTTGGAAGAAAGCAAGGTTCGGCGAAGACACCATCATAGCCAACCTTGATACTGGTTAGCATCTTTTCCCACTATTGATTTGAATTTCAAATTTTCAATATTATCATAAACACAAAACTTAGATCCTACATGTGTGTGCATCAACAAGCCATGTTAAAGCTCACAATTTCTATCTTGTCGTCAACTACCTTGTTTGAAAATTGTTGTAGATCCACTTTGTTCTAGGCCACTTCCTAGTGTTTTTTTAATGAGTGCAAAGTTGGATTCAAATGATATTCATATGGTTCGTTGACTTGACAGTTTAAAATAATTGATGTTTATGTTCACCATGAATAAAATAATGTTTATTAATGCTGTGTTTATTAACTAAGCTCCAGTGTTTAATTTTTCGTTTTACTCAATCACATTGAGGTGCTTGCCATGACCGTCCAGTTTCACATATGACAAATCGTCATTTTAATTGAATTTGTGCCACTCTCACTAACCCATGTTGACCATCAGAAGGATTCAAAATTTGATTTTTCTACCTTTTTTTTTCCTTTCTTTCTTGCATAACAGTAGTATGAGACGGCTCATTTAGGAATGTGGGACTGAGGTGAAGCTGACATAACAGTTCAATATATAATAACACATTAAATGTAGACTATTGCACCATTAGGGCATTTTCGTGAAGTAGGTGTAGGAGGATCATTTTGTTCTCTCTAGTTGAACATGACCAAAAATTCATTAAAGAAAAATCCGTGGTTAGAGAGAGACCTTCAAGTTTGATAGAGTTGGTGGCCTACCTCATATCTATCATGCTCAAGAAAATATCTTCAAGTTTTCTAGAACTGCATTCGTGTATTTGGGCAGAATTTATTGACTCAAATGAATTTCTGGTAAACATAAGCTCAGCTGTATACTTTCAAATCTCTCTAGGAGGGTCTCCGAAAGGGATAGGTGCAACGCTGGAGTCTCTTAGAAGAACATATTATGGGTGTAAAAGATGTATTTAGTTCCTTGATAGACATTTAAAAAAAAAAAAAAAAAAAGGGTATAGATTAGAAGTTAGAATTGTAACTGCAATAATATGACATTAAGATGAAAAGAATTATGAAACCATAGTAGGCTTTCATGAATTGATGAGTATGAGCATGTCTTTTGTTGTTTTGATAATGGACATACTAATTAGATTTTCAGAAAAATTAAGTATTAGATGTTTTAGGACCAACAAGTTTTAAATGGATAGGACACGGGGAAATAAAACAAAAGAAAAAGAAAAAGAGCTAGAATTATCGATGTCAATGGAAGGTGATTTATTTCTTAAAAGAGATTGCCAAGAAGTGTACTGAAGGATGACCATTTCGCAGCACGACAAGAAATCGTATTAGCCATGTTAAGGAGTAACAATCCCATAATAATGTGATGATGTGGTTGATGATTGTTGTATTCTTTCATTTTCTGTCATCAATGGGATTGATGCAGGTGTGTGGCCCGAATCAAAGAGCTTTAGTGATGAAGATATGGGACCAATTCCATCCAAGTGGAAAGGAATCTGTCAAAATAAAGCAGATGCAAGCTTTCATTGCAACAGGTTAGAATCCTGTATCACTCGTGTACATAGCGCTGTTTGGGAACAAAATTTTTGGGTTTTTTCACTAAAAGACAAATTGGTTACAAAACCAAAAAAAATAAATCCAAACAAAATATTACATCAAACCCCATAATCATTTCACTTTTTCTCTCACAAACATCACATCCAACTACAAAAAAACCCAACTATCTTTCCAAACACAAAAAAAATTTTCTCCAATAATATCCTACAACTAAAAAAACCTATAAAAAAACTCACTTCCCAAACATCCACATAAACTCTTACTAATACACACTTTCAAGTTGATGTTCTTAAGAGACCTTTTATAGATATTGTGATAATATATTGTATATATGGCATGATGTGTATATATGGCATGATTGTGTAAATAGGAATTAGTTAGTATTTCCTTTTTTAGTCATTGTGTAAATAGGAATTAGTTAGTATTTCTTTTTTCAGTCATAGATTTAGGGCTATATAAACTGATGAACTCTTTGTAAATTGACACAATTGAATATACAAAATTATTTAGAGACTTACATGGTATCAAAGTTGTGTTCATAACCCTAGCTAGTTTCTGAGTCACGAATCGATAGAGTTCTCCCTCTCTCTCGATTTGCGATATCCTTCTTGTTCCGTCTAGTTCGAAGTTTTGATCAGGTTCATCGGCTTACGCGGTTCACCATCGAACTTCGTAGGTATGATTTCGCTAAACTCATCTGAAGTTCTAATAAAGTTCATTGGCTCACGTGGTTCACCATCTCCATTCCTCTCATGTTCGTGACCCATCTGATTTGTGACCTATCTGTTCATTGCTGGTAGCCGACTTGCGATTGGTAGTCGATCTATTTGGATTCTTCGTCTCAGTGCTTCGTGATTGCTAGTCAACCCTTCATCGCGGCTTGTCTTCTGTCTCTGGCTCATCTTGACTAGTTCTTTCTCCTTCAACTTCGTCGACTGTTGTTGATTGTTCTTTTTGTGACTCTTTGGCATCTACTTTGCAATTTCACTCTCCATTGATAGGATCAAACACACCCAGAAAATAATCTCTCACACACAGAGAACACAATATTTACGTGGTTCGGCCAAATGCCTATGTCCACGGAACAGAAATGATTATTTTCACTAAAACAAAACAAAAATACAAAACAGAGGAGAAGGAGTATCTCACTCTCTTTACTCAACTCAGAGTTCTCATACACTTCTCACAACTCTCTTTTTTTCTAATACAATACATCATCTCCCCCCCGTCTCTATTTATACACAAAGAGAGAGAGAGAGAGAGAGAGAGAGAGAGAGGACAAACCCACACAATTTCTACATTCTTTAATGGTGAGGGTGAGTGTCAACGTGAAAAAAAGAGAGAGTTTTGCAGATGCCCAACTCAGACTTTCACTTGAGATGGATGTCCTTATACGCCATCTTTGCATGACTCTCTACATGCATGCATGGGGTTGGAGCAACAATTCTTCCCCTCTATACCCACATACATGACTGACTTCTCACTTGAAGTCCATCCCTGCAATGTCTCTGCAGATTTCGAGTTTGCCTCTCGAGACCACCTTTGTAAACATGTCAGTTGGATTCTTATCTATGTGGATCTTAATCAGTTCCAATAACTGCTTTTCCATCACTTCGCGTATCCAATGATACCGAACATCAATGTGCTTTGTGCGAGAATGGTACATAGAATTCTTTCTCAGGTTTATGGCACTATGGCTATCACAATGTACCGTAAACTTTTCTTGCTTTAATCCTAACTCTTGGAGAAACTGCTTCAACCACAACATCTATTTCCCAGCTTCCGCTGTGGCAATATACTTTGCCTCGGTTGTGGATAAAGCAACACATTTCTGCAGTTTGGACTGCTAAGACTAGGAATGGCAATGGGGGCAATGGGGTGGATATTAATTCCCCATCCCCATTCCCCTATAATAAATTTTTCCCATTTCCCATTCCTTATTTCCCATGGGTACCACCCTCCCCATTTTTTAATGGGTATGGATTTTCTCCAACCCACTTTAATCCCCATTTTTATTTTTTATATTTAATGTTAACAACCCCTTTTTTTTTTTTTTTTTTTTTTTAAGGTTCACAACAAAAACTAAATATACCTTCAATCTTTTTTCTTTCTTTTTTTAATATATCTAATGTTAACAACTTATTTTTTATTTATTTTTTATTTTTTTAAGGTTCACAACAAAATCTAAATATACATTCAATCTTATTTTATTTTATTTGGTTCAACAACAAATCAAATATACATTAATTAATTAATTAAAAAGTTTGTTTTATAATAATCAAATATATAATTTTTATATTTAATGTTAACAACCTTCTTTTTTTTCTTTTTTTTTTATAAAGGTTTTAGCTAAATATACCTTCAATCTTTTTTCTTTCTTTTTTTAATATATCTAATGTTAACAACTTATTTTTTATTTATTTTTTATTTTTTTAAGGTTCACAACAAAATCTAAATATACATTCAATCTTATTTTATTTTATTTGGTTCAACAACAAATCAAATATACATTAATTAATTAATTAAAAAGTTTGTTTTATAATAATCAAATATATAATTTTGAGACAATCAAATAAGTTTTAGTAATTGAAAAAAAAAT